CGGCACACTTCTTGACGGGTATACTGAGCCGGGTCAAAGACATCGAAGACCTGAAATTCTTAGCGAGATGGTGTATGGTATGTAAAACCAGCTAGCCCATAGTGTGGTGGTGAGATCTACTGTCATATCCCAAAAACCTGTAAAGGAAATCTGTCCATTAAACGATTAACCATCAATTAACACTCGGTGACTACAGTGATACTTCTCACGCTTAACGACCGCAAACAACTGAAAAGACGTCATCTGCAGTCCAATAACGGCTTGATTCAAAACGCTCAGCAGCTTGTTCACTGCATTTGTGGTCATACGTTTCTTGCGTATAAAATCCCATCCAGACATTTATTTTTCAAGAATTCATAAGCTTGATGAATCGCAATGTTGGATGCCCATTGAGCATAATGAACATCGATACCGCTGGCCATTCCGACATGTGGACCCTCAAAATTAGTAGACAGAAGTACCCAGTGTTTCGCGAGATAGTCGATTACCGTGCCAAATGAGACAAAGCCTCAGCGGTCGGTGGATCCCGGTTGTTAAAGCAATCTACGATCAGAGTAAACAGACAATAGGAAGCATGGGCTCGACCACTGGTTGAAGTACTTCATAGAATAATTCAACCAGTCAGTGGCCAGCCGAAGTACTCTGTTGCCAATAACTGGGAGCTGTTCATGACTAGTAGCATATAAACTGCAACTAATGTAGAACAATTATCCCATATATTAACATACTGATGAACTTCTCCGATTTCAAAGTAATGGGTGGATTTCTGGTAAAATCTTTTATTGCTTGAATTTGATCGTCACCGAAACACCTTTAAAAAAGAGAAGACTGTTCATGCATAGAACGTTGGATTGGGACTAGGTTTTCATAGTACCGATAATATATTTATCTTAATAAATGCTCAAGCCGCATCACATCCCACCTATTAGAAAGTGGAAACTTCATTGATTTTGGTCGATCGTGAAGCCAGGGCAAGTTCTCATAGCTGAAGTACCTTAATTTCTCATGATCACTTTGTTCACCTACTGCTTGTTGAATAATGGCTCACGGTGAACTACAATGTTCATCTATAACCAGGAGAAATGGGATATCTTACCGTTTCACCATTCACGTTAGAGTTCACCATAGACAACGTACAAGTTTTTAACATGTTGGTGACCGGAGAATGAAAGGAAAACGCTAAGGTAAGGGCCCCAAATTTTTTATTTGAATTTTTACTGAGAGATTGCGTGCACTGTTTGCTAATTGTACATTGTGATTTGTATGTAGTTCATTTTGTTTCGAGTTCGAACCAGTGGGTTAATAACACTCGGGTAGACTTTCGCGTTTCACGTTGGTTGCGTTGTAACGTTGGCTAGCTCATAAAAGTCACTTGGCTCAGTTTCGCTTTGTGTGGGACACGTGCTGCATATACCGATCAGTCAATCGTAGATCGCACCACTAACGGTTTCTAGTTTGATCCGCTGTGTGAATGCACTCACGTGTAAGGGACCAGAGGAAGTGGAGTCAAATGACGATGAACTGCACTGATCGTTTAGACAAGCTGAGCGCTTTTTGTCTCTTACAGTCAGCTCCCTGATCGATTGACTTGATACGCAGGAGAATATGGCAACACAGCAGTGTGTCTTTCCCGTGATTACATTTTCATCGGTGTGCATGCACACAATTTATGTTGTGTGTGTGTGTGTGATTCCCATTCGATTCGGTAGCGGGCTGCTTCACTGCGGTTTGACTCAATACCACTCCCCGACATGATAGGGCTTTTCATGGTTCCGCACTAAATCTCCAGGCTTATTAAATGTATTATATATTATTATATTATATAATATTAAACAGTAGGTCCTTGTGATTAGGATCTTTATCGATCCTGCTGTTCGCCACAACTGTGTGTAGTCAAAGCTGTTCAGTTGATTTCCCCCCTGCTCTATCGAATGGGTTCATCTATTGTTTCCCTCACACCCATTAATACCTAGTATATACCCCCATCAGTATGACAGTCCTCCTCGTGGAGGATTTCTGTTTTCGATGTCCACTGTCATACAGCCATTGTAAACCACGGGGTCGGGCATCCGGAAAAGTTTGCTCCCACTGGTTCACCTCGAGATGGCCCCCGGACCGAAACCGCATAAATAACTGAATAAAAAAGAAACTATTATGTTTTGTTCACCAAACCCAACAGGTCCGGATAACCTTTGTATTTTTCTCAATTCTGACTTCTGATCAAACAAATGTTCGAGCCCTCGTTTGAAAGTGCACTACTGGAGTAATTTGTATTTGTGTAATTTGTGTAAACTCCTGTGCTTACATTTCAGTTAGAAATGTGTACTTGTCGTCACAACGAATAAAATATACTGTTTTGTATAACGTGCAAAGTGAAGAATATCACTGAAGTTAGTTTTATGTACACAAATTCTAATGTAATTCACTGTTGACCTGATCCTTATTGCTTAGGAGTCCGGCCAATTAAGGTACTAGTGAATTATTGTAAATGTCAATACGCCAGGGTTGATATGGTACAGTTGTTTCTTTTGTTGAATCCAATACACTGTTAGG